GCCACTATGAGAATGGGTACTAGTCAGTCATACCTTATATATCTAATAACATTTAATACGTTCCCCTTATAACTTAAAACTGAGTTGAAATTGTCGGGTTGTCTTGTAATTATGCAGTTGTGCTAACTGGTTAATCACTTAAAGTCAATTCTCCTTCGAATTAATTTCCTCATTTATTTTTATATTTAGAAATTATATATAGTCTGTGTCCCTCATATAGTTCAACGTTATGCAAACTGCAATTCCACATAATAAGCACATTAAGGTTTCTGAAGCTGTAGGACAGACAAAGAAATTATCCAGTTTAGTAGATCTCACTAACCAACGTGAAAGAGAAACTTGCACTTCCAAAAAATGTGAGAGGGTTGGATGTATGTCATGTGATAAGGAAGTAGTCTTGGGCCTCAAAAAATTTAAAGAATGTGCTCAAATCTCATCTAAAGTGATGTCTGATAATAATACCACTGCTGGAGGACTAGAAACTTGATCAAGGTTAGTGGTGAAAGTAGTTAAAAGTATAGATGGTAAAAAAGTGGATTTAGATGCCAGAGGTCTAAAGTCTTCTCCAATTACCCTTTCTTTGGAGGGTTTTCTTCCTCAAAAAGCATTTGAGAATGTTAACTACATTGTAGGTGTAAAACAAGATGATCTAGAATATCCTCGAGAACACCTGAACTCTGAAAAAGCAATTATGGTGGATAATAAAAAGAGGAAAATGGGAGTTGAGTCAGAGGGTGGGAGGACAGATCAATATGAAAACCTTAAAGATGGAACACATGAGTCATTAAAGATAAATTCCATAGAAGAGTCTTGTCAAACTGTATTATCTGACATAGTGAATTCATTGACAAGCCAACAACATAAAGAAAACAAAGCAAATGATATATTGTCTTCTGATTCCGTGGATACTAAGGAAGTTGTTGGTTTAATAAGGACAAAAGTTGGACTTTGCTGAATATATGTAGATCTGTAGCTCTTGCTCGAAACCCCTACTAGGATGTGGAACGAAATATGCCTTCAATTGTGAAGAAGTTATTTTTTGCAAGTTTAGTCTATTATTTATCAAAAAAGCCATATTGCTAGCTTATCTGTAAGGAGGGAATCAAAAGAACTTAAATGTAAGCCCTCAAATTTCTCTGCTTCTTTTACGACTGTCTAAAATCCTCCGAGCACAAAAGCTCGGAGCCTATCGTTTGATTCAATTCTACCCAAAAAACGTCTGAAGCCTGATGGCTATCCAAGGTCTTATCGACAAAGTGGTACCCATTATAATAGAGGAGATCTCTCAGAGGGTTCAAAAATGGGTGCATAAGCTAAAGACATTGGCTGCACAAGAAAAGGCTAAAAACCCAATGAATATGAAGTCACAGAATTGGAACCAAGAAAAAATAGGCACTGTGCATGTGGTTAATGAAGTTAAACATCTTCCAAAGAAACCTGAAACTTGTGTAAAGAGTGCAGAACCTACACTTTTAATTGTTAGATTCCCTTCTAAATCAGCACTTCCATCCTTTTCAGAGCTTAAAGTAAAGTTTGTATGCTTTGGACCCCTTAATATTTCAGTAACCAATGTTTCTTGGAAACCTTCAACATGCATTGTTGCTTTCAAATGCAAATATGGAGCTTTGTGTCAGGGCCTTGAAACTCCCCAGTCCTTGAACTGTGCCGATCTTAACGTAATCAACCTTTTGATATTTGCTAAGTCAACCGAACCTTTAGGATGCAAGCAAAGAAACTAAGAAACTTGAACACAAGAGAAAAGAGAGCTTGGATCAGAGAACTTGAGAGTTTAGAACTTTAATTACTTTCCTTGTTGTTTACAAATGAGGGATTGTGGGATATTTATAGGCCTCCCCCTTTCTCTAAAAAATTTCCACCTCCTTAATGGACGGTAGAGATTAATCTAATCCTACGATTTACATTCATCCTCTAAAGTGTTTCATAAAAATATCTACAATAAATATCTAGATATTTACAAAGATATTTCTAGACTAATATTTAAGATGTGTGTGGAATGTTCTAGAACATTGAATATTCTAGACATCTTTACATCCCTCCATAAGTTTCTAGAACCTTCTAGAAACTTCTAGATTTCTCTAGATAATTCTAGATTGTTCTGGATGCTTCTAGAACATTCTAGAACATACTAGGTTCTTCCTGAACGTCCTGGATTCTCTTGAAAATCTCTCCATTGTCCTGGACGTCTCCAAAAGCACCATAGCCTTATGGTTTCTTCTCTTTCTGAACAGAGATTATGACATTTGGCTACCTATAATCATGCAATCCTAAATAAATTTCTCTTCGGCAATGCAAAAGTACATTACCAGCTGTAGACATGGGAAATCCCTCTCTTACAATCTCAAACATCTAGAGACTAGCTTGTAAATCAAACCTATGGAAAGGATTCACGGTTGCCAACTATGATGATTGGTACTCCTACAAAATCAATGATTCCACAGAAGCCGCATCTAAAGAAGCCACAAGCAGTCGTGATTGGGCACATTGCAGTTATACCTAGCTAAACTGTGTCCTTGAAAGTTGTGGAAGAGAGTGGAAGTGGTGACAGAGACCAACTGATCATTCAAAATAATGTCAAATGCTCTAATCACTGTCATCCCTATGTTTAACAATTTACCTCCTTCGTCAACTCTCCCTACCATTATAGATCAGAACCTCCAACAAAAGGTCTCTACTAGGCCCTTACATGATCTTCCTGTCGGTGTATCTAATACCACTTCTTCCCACACAAGGCATTGACATCTCCTAATAAATGTTGAGCAACTTAATCAGCTGTAATGAAATCATAAATAACTTGAAATCTGCATTAGGATATGTTCCTTTACATTTCTGATTACTCCACAGAGATATTGCCATATGTTCACACTCCATAGTAATAACTTGAGTTCTAGTCACGCTTCATAGTAGCAGGCACAGATTTTGCACCACTAACCTTGATAGCATACTGCGGATAGAACACTTGTAGATGTAGCTGCTACATTCATATATCTTTTATAATTCTGATGCAGTTGATTGGTTAGAAGAAAGGAAAGGATTTTGTGGGGTGAATTTTTTGGTGACACACACACACACACAATTTTATTCATGTAGTTGGTAGTGTCAAAAGGCTGATGAAATGACCCAGATTTACTAACACTTAGTCCAGATGAGAAGGGAAAACTAGAAGAGAAAACTGCTAAAAATAGTATAAAAAAATTATTATCTTTGGAGTATTTTTTTATTTTCTTCTCACTTTTTCCTCCATCCAAATCAAGCCTTAAGACAATGAGTAACTTTGAACATGCTACACTTGTTATGTGCCTATTGTTTGACTAATTTTATGATGAATTTGTTTTTTTTATTGCTTGCAGTTGAACTGATTCGACTAGTTAGATGATCAATGAATCAGATGATTATTTAGATTTTTTTTTGGGGTCCGTGAATGAAAATAAATTAAAGGTGTGCTGTTCCGTCTTTTTCTCTTGGTATGGTCTTGGTGCTTGTCTGTCTTGTAGTTGTAGCTGGGCAATGAGAAAGGGTAGGAGAAGACGACGTGGTCGAACATGGAATATGGAATATGTACAGCGGCTATACAAAGGTGTACATGCTTCCAGGCGATGTGTTCTGATGCAGAATATGGAGTATGTTGAATAAAATAGGTACAAAGATGTACAGAGCATCTTATACAGTCTTCCCTTGAGTTGATTGGAGGAATGTAAAATTATTAATTATTAAATAATATAACAACAATAAAAACAAAAAATAGTGATAATAGTATTATACTGTTATATTACGTGATTACATCCATTGAATAGCTATAACCATCTTGTTTCTGTTTCCTTCATAGTGGAGGCTGAAAGGGGAAAAACTTATCTTGAAAAGTGCTCAATACACGGGAATGCAATGGTTAAGCATCATTTTCAGCGTAAATAGCGCGTTTGTAAGGCTATTTTTTTTTGGGCGTATTTTTCTTTGTTTTTTTCCCTTTTTCTTCTGGAAATTCTGAAAGTGGGGAGGGAATATTTGATTTTAATATCAACATCATGGGTCCGAAGCAATGCGCACATATTTATTTTCTTCCTTTTTTTTTTTTTATTTTCTAAAAAAAACCCCAAATGATAGAGAATTAGAGATTCTCTGCTTTTTGAGTCTGCATGATGATTGTTGCGCTTACGCACACGGCCTTCTACCTCCCCCCATTCAAAAATATAATTAAATTTTACTTTTTAATAAAATAATTATTTATTTTTTAATTAATATTATTTTTTTATATTTATTCATATTAAATACCATACAATAAATATAAAGTCATTATCAATAGAAACACTTAAAAAAAATAATAATTACATCACAAAAAATTAAAAATATTTTATATTTTTAAATATCTAATTTTTTAAAAAATATTTTATATTTTTAAATAAAAAGAGTAGTTCTTACCTATTCTTTGGAATGTATCCTCCTTAAGCGGCTTTTTTCGCCAGCGGTTTGTAATTATTTCCGATATTCCCTACCAAATTAGATCAAATTATTAAATTATTAATTGATATTATATCCTGTGATACACTGCTAGAAATATACTTAAAAAAAAGTCATAATTTTGCAATTGTCAAAGGAAGAAGAATGATTAAAAAATACTTCATTTATTTTAAATTATAAAATAATTTAAAAAATTTTTTTATCTTCAAATATAAATAATTTAAAAAAATAAATAAAAAATAAAAAATAATATTATAATTTTATTATTAAATGAATAGAATATTTTTAAAAATTTATAATTTTTACTATAAAAAAGTTAGTTCATAAAGTATTATTATTATATTTTATAAATATAAATAATTTTACTTTAAATTTTGAATTATTTTATAATTTAAAAAGGACGTAGTATAATTTAAAAAAAAAATAAAAGGAAGAAAAGAAGTTAAAACTGACGCGTCAAAATTGAAGATCATCAAGCCCAAGCGCAAGGAAGATTCCTGATCCGCGGCCATATAATAAGGAGAACAGGTCTAATTTTCATTGATTGAATCATCCTTCGGTCTTCTCTCGCAAGTCTCAATCTTCATCGTTTTTTTCCGTCGTCTTCATCTTCTTCGTTCTTTTGCCCTTTCTTCTCAATACTTGGCTCAGATATGGAATACTTACCGTTAGAGCTCACGCTAATCTCTGCTAAAGATCTTCAAGATGTCAACCTTTTCTCCAAGATGGACGTTTACGCTGTCGTTTCGATTACCGGCGACGCGTACCAGAACCAGAAGGCCAAGACCCCTGTTGATAAAAACGGCGGCACCAGCCCTACCTGGAATTTTCCCATGAAATTCAACATCAACGATTCGGCGGCGCGTCAGAACCGTCTCTCCATTGAAATCAAGCTCAAATCTGAGCGTCCCGTGGCCGGCGACAAGGACATCGGTGTCGTCCACGTCCCAGTCAAAGAGCTACTGGATAACCTCGGTGACGGAAAGTCAGCGCAGTTCGTCAGCTATCAGGTTAGGAAGCCCTCGGGGAAGCCCAAGGGATCGTTGAATTTCTCTTACAAATTTGGGGAAAAGGTCACCGCTCCGGTATCTGCGCCGGCCGGGAAGGCCTATACCGAGGGTGTTTCGAAGGGTGAGCCCGTGATGGCGTACCCTCCACAAGCGGCGGGATCCAGCTCGATGCTGGCCTATGCCGCGCCATACCCTCCACAGCATGGATACCCTCCGCCGCCGCCGCCACAATATGCAGCTGGTTACGGGTACCCACCACCGCCATACCACGGTGGCTATCCACCGGCATATGGCGGGTACCCGCCAGCGCAAGCGGGATACCCGGCGGTTCAGCAGCCGGCGAAGAAGAACAAGTTTGGGATGGGTTTGGGAGCCGGGTTACTGGGTGGAGCCCTCGGCGGGTTGCTGATCGGAGATATGATCTCCGATGCGGGTTCTTACGATGCAGGGTATGATGCTGGCTTTGATGACGCAGGCGGATTTGATTTCTGATCAGTTGCTTTTTTCCCCCTTTCTTTTTTTTTCTTTTCCTAGTTTTGAAGTGGTAATATTATATCTCAAAATATGCATCTTATAACATGTGTTAACTGCTTTGGATCTTTAAATTATGTTGGATTTTGGACTTGAAGTGATATGAATTCTATGATCTTGCTCATCTTGTGATGAAGATGACAAGTACATGGTATATATATTTTCAGCCTCCAGTCTCTTGTTTATACGAAGATCATTATGTTCTATAATGTTCATAGCCAAGAATGAAAATATACTATTATATAACAACATTTTCTTTCACTGCTCTAGTTTCAAGCGCTAGATTTGGGCTGATATACGATTCTTTGGATAAATGTTGACTTTGATATTTTGAAGATAATCAAGAATACAAGGTTGGGCGTGCCAAAATATATATATATATATATATATATATTTTTATACAGTAAAAAATAGTTTCTTTTCATCTGAGGTACAGTGATTGATGCAAATATCACACTGTATTTTCATCTGAGGTACAGTGATTGATGCAAATATCACACTGTATTTTATAGTTCCTTCTTATCCAAAGTTTAGTCGTTGAATATATATATATATATATATATGCATCAATTGCTGTACCTTTGATTAAAAGGAACTATTTTTTTATTTAGTTTTAAGATTTAATAAATCAAATTAATTACTTTATTTGTAAACCTGTACGAATGCACACGGGTTGCATCATTATTATATTAATTTGTCAACGTAATTGTAATGGCAGACTTTGAAAGTGAAACTTTGAAAATCGCATCCCCATTTTTCCCAAGAGATCCAGAAGCCTCTGCAAATTGTGTCTTAGGCTCTTAGCATCCTCTCTTATTTAAAAAAAGTGACAACAGCGTTGACGTTGACAGTGTTCACTATTCTTTGAATTTATTATTTCAATACAAGATAAAACTCCAATATTTTCATACGAATGTGTGTGTGTGTAATATAATGCTCGCACTTGTACATAAACAGTAAAATTTAGATTTTATTTGCTTAAATTTATTAGATCTAATTATCCATTAAATCTTACCATGTGATTTTTATTATTAATAATTATATTTAAAATTTATCCATATGAATTTTTATTGTTAAAAAATTCATATGTTAAGATTTGAACGAGAAATTGGATTTGGATATGAATATTTGGGATGCAAATAAAAATGAGAAAAAATATGCTTAATAAATATAGTTATATTTTGAAAAGATCGCTATCGATGGAATTGTTCGGGTATCAAATCCAAAAAAGAAATCCTACCAAGAAGATTGATGAAGCAGGTTGAAGAGCTGGATTGAAGAAGCTCTATCATCTTCATTGAAGATCAAAGACCATTGTCATTGCTGGAGAAATTCTGTCATCACTACCTCACCACCATTGTTTTCGAAGAAGCAAATCCAATAAGGTGTGGGGAAGAGCACTGGTGAGGCAGTTCGGGGAGAGGTCAACATGGACGAGGCTATGATAGAGAGATTTTTGATGGGAGGGCATTGTTGATCGAGTTATTGTAGAGGACGAGGTTAGTGAGGTTGCAGAGAATGAAAGCAGGTAATGAATTGGCGATATTGGAATCAGAGAGGTTAGGAGGAAGTGAGGGAAGAACTTGGTTCTTTGGGTTTTCTCTATAATATTTTATTCATGCACATCAAACAAATAAATTTATGAGTTTCACTTTTGCTTCTGCTTTGCCTCCCCCCCCTCTCTCTCTCTCTCAATTCTTTGCTATCAAACAATGAATAATGGATATAATTAAATGAACATAAATTATGAAGATAATAAAAGTCAGATTAATTATTGAACTAAGATAGTGGTTTAAGAGTTAGTGGTTTAATTATGGATCAATTTAGAATCAAACCATTATTAATTAAAACAATATAATTTAACTTATATATATATATATAAATATTCATATTTGAATATGAAAAAAAGTATTTAAATAAAAATTATTAGTTCTGCTTAAATAATCTAACAAAAATTCAATAAAAAGAGAAAAATCTTATACATTTAAGCACAATCCAACAAAAATTCTGCAAACTCAGTTAAATTCTAATGAAAATTAAAAAATCAAATAATTTTTTTTAAATAAATGGATTGCATTGATTAAGTCACCATCGAGTTGACTTACCGAGTTACAACTGAGTCACTCTCGGGTTAATTCGATTGACACTATCCTATATTAGATTGCAAATCAGACCAATCAATTGATCAGGATTGAGTTTTCAATTGCACCAGGCGGTTTGGTTCGGGTTTTCATTTATTGTAAATTATATAAATAAATACATGCACACTTGATTAATTATTAATTAATTAATTAATTAGTGAATGTATAATTCGTACTCCCTCCATTCCACTTTAGCGATCACCTTCCAAAAGAGTGACGTGGTTCACTTTATAAATCATTGGATTAATAGTGATGTTTTGTTTCAAATAAAACATCTAAACTATCTTTGAAAAGTAAGAGAGAAACAAAAAATAATATTATTATAATTTATTTATTTTTTAAGAGTTATATTTTTAATTTTATTTTTTATACTTTTATTATATTAATATTAATAAAATTAATAAAAATAATTTATAAATAACACGAGAGGCAATACTAATAAACAAGCTACTCTGTCAAGGAAAGTAGAGCCGGTAATTCAGGTGGGCTGAGATTATTTGGGCTGGACTCAATTCAAGCCGGGCTTATTTGAATTGAGTTTAAAGTATTATACTTCTTTTAAAAAGCCCATATAGTCAAGCCCGACTCTAACACCTTCGAGCCTCGGGCTGGCTCGAATATCCAAAATTTTTTAAAAGTATTTTTTCTTTATTTTTTGAATCAATTTAATTTTTAAATAATTCTATTAAGTTTAAAATATTATCTTAATTTTAAAAGAATAAAATAAAAAATAACTTATCAACTTTGTACTTAAGTCGCTCTATGATTATTTTATTGTATTATGTATAATTTATTCATGAATGTTTCTTTTATTTATAAATTAATGTCTTAATTGTTTAAATATTTCTCTTATCATAGTCGTATATAAATATTTTATATATTTTAAATAAATTATATTATTTTAATTATGATTAAGTTGATCTCAAATCAATCACAGTTAGACTACTAACTTAAAATTATTATCTTGATTAGTTTAAAGTTTTTAATAACTTTTAGGTAAATTATACTTTTTATCTTTATGAATATAAAAAAAATTACCATCATTATAATATATAAAAAAATTACTAAATTATGAGTAAAATATTATTTTTTAAAATTATTTTTTTAACTTTTTATATTGTTTAACTCTTACATATAAGGAATTCTTACTCTAATTTACTCTTAATTTTTAATCAAGTCTAGCATGAATAATAACCAAGTAATTATTCAAGAATATTATTTTATTTATTATATTTATCTAGTTATTTTATTTATTATATTTATCTAGTAGTAGAATCAAAAATTCATATATGCCTAAGTTTTATTTTTAAAATTATTTTTAACATTATTTTTACTTTAAAATTAATTATCTTAATTTATAAAAAATATAAAATTATTTTTTTCTATGCAAATGATTTATAGGACTCAAAATTATTTTTTTAAAAATAGAGTCTTAAAATATAAAAATAAATATTAAAATATATTTTAAATATTATTTTGAGATATTTTATTGATTAAGAATAATAAAAATATAAAATATAACTATTTTTAATTTTTTTTAAAAAATAAATATATTAAAATACTCATATATATATATATATAGTATTTTGATATAAAATAATATAAAATTTAAAAAATTAATTAATATTTATTATATTTTATATTTTTTTAAAAAAACTATTTTTTAATTTGGGTATTCTGGCCCAGCTTGCTTGGTCTGAATTTTCTTAAACCTATTCAAACTGTTTGAATAGGTTTAAATAATAAAAAAAATATGTTTTTTAAACTTAACTTTAAATTTTTTAAACGGATTTTAGCTGACACGTTAAGTTTGATTTAAACTATTGACTTTAAAGAAAAGCTTGAAAGTTGCATTGACATTTACTGGGAAACATCCAAGAGCATTCGCAAATGGTACTTCACTGACTTTCTGCAATGAATACGTGGGGCGACAGGGACAGTGATATTGATTAGTTTTTTTTTTTTTTTTTAACAATAAAAAAATCAAAGATGAAAGTGTTGACTATAGAGTGCCTTCAAATGACATTAAAAAATTTGAAATACAAATATACAATATTCATTACCCGAAAAAACAGCCATGAGACAAGTATTTATACAAATACCATAAAGGGTGAAAAGATTAAAATATCTTCATGTAAGCGAACTACAATATAAACCAACAAATAATATATATATATATATATATGTATGTATGTATGTATGTATGTAAAACATTACACATCTTTAACATTCTCTCTCAAATTCAAACTAAGTAAATTAATAATTAGTAACTCGCTGAAAATTTTTTTATAGGATTTCTTTTTCAAGGCTTTGGTTTGAACATCAAGCTCTTATTCTATTGAATGAACATAGTGTAAGGAGATAACTTTTTGTTCCAGTTTCTCCCTAACAAGATAAGAATCGACCTCTATGTGTCTTGTCCTCTCATAAAAAATAAGATTGTTGACTATAAGAATAACAGCCCTATTATCACAGTATACCTTTTATTGTGTCATATTTTGCAAACCCAGATCCCTCGTTAATATTAAAACACAAATAATTTCTAATACATCAACACTAAGAGCTTTATACTTAACTTCAACTATTGGGTTGACTTACTGAGTTACAGCCAAATCACTCTCAAAGTGATTAAGTTGACACCGTCTCATATTAGATCATAAACCAAACCAATCAACTGATAGGTTTATTGGATTTTCAGTTGCATCGATCAATCTGGTTCAAGTTTTTATTCATTGCAAATTATATAAGTAAATACATGCACACATGATTAATTATTAATTAATTAATTGGTGAACGTATAATTCCTAGTAATGGGCAAGCTACTCTGTTGAAAGGGAAGCTTGGAAGTTGCATCAACATTTACTAGGAAACGTCGAAAAGCCTTCGCAAATGGTCTCTTGGCTGACTTTCTGAGATGGATATGTAGGGTGACATCATCAGCGACAGTGATATTGGTTAGTTTTTTCTTCTCGACGAAAAAATCAAAGATGAAAGTGTTGACTATAATGTGTCTCCAA